ACTCATAAATTCTCTTCCTGTTCTTCTTTTTTCTTCTAGATCTTTATGGAAAATGCTCAATTCAAATGGTTTTCTAGATGAAAATGGGTGAGGGGAAGATATTAATTTGGGAAATTTTGGGTTGGAGTTTCAAACTTATGATGAACACAACTCATTAATGCCTTTTCTTTTCTTTCTTCGAAACCTCATCAGAAAAAAAAAAAAGAAAAAAACCCAGCTGCTTTGCTCAATGGGGGATGATAACACTAATCAACGTCTCACTCCAATTTTCAAAACATCATGCAACCATCTAAAAAAACCCTAAACAAAAACACCCTTCTCGGGTTTGGTCGTAATTCTATTTCTATCAACTTAAGCTTTTGAGTCGAAGAATTCGATATAGATTAATGATTATGACGATGATGATCGGCAGGTGAGTGTTCCATGCAGTAGCTTGTTTGATATTGTGACAGTCCGATGTGGGCACTGCACAAATCTGTGGTCCGTGAATATGGCTGCTGCATTTCAGGCTCTTTCCTGGCAAGATGTTCAGGTAACCCTAATAACCTAAACTTATCATTCAAAGAAAAAGGCTTCAAATTTTGCATCTTTTTGAGAAATTGGATGTGACCCAGATTCTAAAATCTTGAAACTAAGACAACCCACTTCAAAGTTTTCATTTTTATTTACACCACACAAAACCCTAGATAGCTACCTCCCACAGCTACTCAGCCGCCATAATCCCCATTGTTTTCCTCTTTTATCCACTGAGTTTCTTCATGTTCTTTCAGGTTTTAAGTGCTTTTGCGTTTAGGGTTCTTTTAGTTTTTGTAGTATGAAGCCTATATTGGTAGCTAGGTTTCTTTTGTCATTTACTGTTCCAACATTCACAGAAAAAGGAAAAGATGGCCAAGATCTGAAACCCCCTTTTGAATTTGTTTGGATATTCAACTCTCATCTGGGTGTTATATGCTTTATGAACTCATCAAACATCATTTCTCGGTCGAGGATTGTTAGGAGAGAGTTCCACGTTCTCTAATTTAGAGAAGAATAATATGTTTATAAGTGAGGAATACATCTCTATTAGAGTTTCATGTCTGTTGAACTATGCTTGAATTGGAATATGAAAAATTTGTAGGTACCAAATTACAACTTATACAGTTGTAACGGACCTGATTTTCAAGGTGATTTTGGATCGTCGTCGTCGTCTTCGTCATCATCGAAATGTGAAAACAACAAGATGGAAATTCGAGCAAACACAACAATGGGAACAGAGGAGAGGGTTGTGAATCGACGTCAGTGTTCTTTCATTTACTTTCCTCTGCAAATCTCTTAAAAAAAATTGAAATTTTATGAGTTGTTGTTATCCTTTTTCAGCTCCCGAGAAGAAGCAGAGAGTACCATCTGCATATAATCAGTTCATAAAGTGAGTAACCAAAGCCTTCACAACTTGGAAAAATTTTCTAAATTCATTATATTTTCAGTTCTTAATTACGATTTAATTGTGTTTCAGAGAGGAAATTCAAAGGATTAAGGCTAATAATCCTGAGATTAGCCATAGAGAAGCTTTCAGTACTGCAGCCAAGAACGTAAGCTTAATTTACAATAAAAAATTTTGGATGAAATGAATTTAAATTTGCTTATAAATCTCCAATTTTGATCAGTGGGCTCATTATCCTCGTATACCCTTTTGGTCGGATGTTGGAAACCAGCAATCAAATGAAGCTAGATGATGTAAGTAAACGTGAAAAACTAGATTAAATTATAAGTTTTATGTTCGTTCGTTTAAACGTTTTAAAGTTCATACACGAAATAGATAAAAATCTCGAATTTGATTCGAACGAATCTTGATTTGATATTGTTTTGGTCAGGGTTTGGAGCGTTTGATGTGAAGGGCATGAAGGACTGATCAATGAAGTTGCTGTTTTTTTCTTTTTTTCTTCTTATTTTACTTCATGAAAACAAACCCCAATGACTTGAATTTGTTGTTGAATTCAAGTGACAACTATAATATCTATCCATCTTTGGGTTGCTGTTGCATTATTTTCCACTATTGCTATCAAAATTTGACTTGAAAACTGTCACAATCTCTAATGATATCCTCATATGAAGTGAATCTTCACAAGAAAATGACACTTTTGGCATCACTTACCTCTAATCTAAATCTTATGAACGAACCCTTTTTAGTTTAGGATTAGTCGAGGAATTTGAACATCTGAATTCTTGGTCGATGATGGATGATGATAAGGTGAGAAGGGGTATGATTCTTGCACTTCCTTGGTGGTTTGCTAGTATCAGATTCTTTTCCTTTCCTTCACAGTTCTTCCAAATCAAGTACATTATAAAGGGAATGAAGGGAGATGGAATTCCCTTCCACATATAGCTTTGTGGGGTTATCTACTAATCCATGACGATCATTCGACATGACCCTCACGCTCGTTTAGGCTAATAGATTATGATGAATTCATCTCATTCCATGCATGTCATGCACTGTCACGTCAGTTGGAAAGGGGAACGAAGCATTCTTTATAAGAGAAGTTTAAAGAGGTAATATTTGTTAGCGGTGGAGTTGAACGGTTACCTGACGGGGAAGAAAAGAGAGAAGGAAAGGGAAAAGAGGGGGAAAGCAAAGGTGTTTCCTTTAGAGACACAAAAAGCAAGTTATCTAAGAAAAGATTTGGAGTGTCGAAGCGGAGATAGCATAGAGAGGAAGCAGCTATGGCCATAATTAGGCACCACCACTGTCAAAAACAAAAGTAGATGAGGACCACCGTAAGCTATTTTCAATCCCCTTTTCAAATATTTCTTAATTTTACATAACAAATATTAATCAAAAGGAAAAAAAAAAAACAAAGAACCACTAACTAAAGCTACCATAAAAGATCAATCTTTTTCAGATTCAAAATCAAATGCATCATTTCATTTTATTCAAACCATTGACTGCCTAAACATGATTGTTTCCCAAACAAAATGTTCTAAATTAATATGCTTTCTTTTGTGTCGGGTCCAATACATCAAACTTAATTATGGTTTCTCTTTTCGAGTTTAATAATGTATGGGATGAGAAATTCGAATATCTGATCTTTTGATTATAAGTTTGCCTAAAAGTTTAAATCTTTATGGATCTATTTTAGTCTTTCAACGGACACAACTTTACTTTACTATTTTTTTTTCTTTTAAAGTTTTTCAAATTTCTATAAATGGGGTATTTTGGTCCAATTTTTAAATTAAAAAAACCCTTTTTTGCATCTAGCTATTTTTACTTAAAGAAAGTAATTTGACTATTTTTCAAAATAGATAAAAAAAAAAAAAATCAAGAATCAAAGAAATTGGTCTCGTGAAATTTGTTTAGTACTAAAATTTAAGCACAAGAGTGGGATGGATAATAAATATAATTAGTTAAACATTAAATTATAAGGAGAGAGAGAGAGAGAGAGAGAGAGAGAGAGAAAAATGATGGAATGTCATAGGGATCTTCAAGTGGTTGGAAATGAATGTTAGGGTTGGAGAGATTGATTACAAGCTGTCAAAAGAAAGAAGTAAAGAAGCAATAATAATAAATTCATTCATTCAGTTGGAAAAAGACATGAGAAAAGAGTATAGAGTGGAGCAGGAGCAGCGGCAGCAGCAGAGGTAGCGGTGGTGAGTGGAAGTCATACGGCCGCTGCCACTGGGCGCTGCAGTAGCAGCAGCAGCAGCAGCAGCACCGGCACCACCACCCTCACATCTTCACAAAAACTTTACTGACATTTAGAATCTGAAACGTCACACTCGTGTCTGCTACGCATTCATTTCACTTCCTATCTCATTTCAATCTCTCTGACTTTCTTCTTCCCCACACAGTCCAGACATAAGCCCCTCCCCCCCTTCCCTTCCGCACTCACCCACTCACTTTTCTTCTTGGACCTTTCTATCTCTCTCTCTCTCTCTTCAAATCTTCATCAGGCTGAAGGGTTGTCTTTGTTTCCTCCTCATTCTATCACATTCCCAACTTTGATGATGCTTCAAAAATGGGGGATGGGGGGGGGGGGGGCCCCCCCCCCCCCCCCCCCCCCCC